AAGGATCACATCTTTTACTTTAAAAAAAAAAATGCTATTTTTTTCTTAACTGCAGTTCCATGAATGCCGGAGTAAAATTGGGGCATGCTGGTAGATTTCTATGTCATTATTGTGGGTTGAGTTACCAGTGTGATAGCTTAGATCAGAACTCACGCAGTGAATGGCTTGTAGCATCACTAAAAAGGCAGCAGTAATACCTTTGTATGGCATTCTCATGGTGTTTTTCAGTTTAGAAAAGTACAGCCACATATGTTTTTCTTATTTGATTCTCAGAATGATCTTGTAAGCCAGGATAGGAAATGCATTCACTGTTTTATACAAGAGAACCTGTGGTCCACACAGTGGATAGTGGAGGCAGCCTCTATAATCCACATCTGATTCCAAACAGATGGCATGCATGCATGTGTGTATTTGTGTGTGTTTCCTATTACTGCAGTACCTTTCCTCTCAGAATAGAGCTTCCACTTCGTCAAGTTTGATCGTACTTATGTTTGTGGTCACATACACATATAATGAAGGATTCAAAAATAAAATATATAAGCTTACATAACTTATATAAACCTTCTTTGCATATACTTTATGGATGAAATGTGTAAACCATATTTTCATATAAAGTTTCTAAGATTTCCAAATAAGTTCTTTTATATAATGTGGATAGTAATTGTCTAAATTAGTAGTTTTTTCCAAAATTTGATTTTTCCATGTTAGATTATTTGCCAATTCCATAATACACCTAGTAGTTCAACAACCTTTTATACTATATGGGAAATTAAACTTCCTAAATTTTCCTTATTAGTTAGTTTGGTTTTCTAAACTCAGATGGTTAATAACTAGAAAAATTACACAGCTTTTTTTTTTAAAGGCTTCATTCTTTTAACCGTCAGTTTTTCTGTTCATAAACTGTGCTACAACCTACCATTTTATAATAACTTTCTAAAGGAGGCAAAATATAATCAAACATGTCACCATAAATAGAAAACTCTAGGTTTAAATTTATTTTTTTGAAACATTTTAACATTTATTTCATTCAAAATAAAGGTTAAAATGAAGACTGTCCCCCAAATAAATATGCGTGCAAATTACAGACCTGAATTAGATTTTTTTTAAAAGTTCAAGCCATAATCATGGATTACTAGAAGTGTCTCTATAAATACTGTATGTCTTCCCTCTCTGCATTTAACAGGTGAGGAAACAGAGGCAGAAAGTCTAGGTTAATTGCTGTATTCTGCACAATGAACATGGAAGACCCACGACTGATGTCCTAGTTCTTGCTGTCATACCATGATGCCTTTCTTGCTTTCCTTTTTTGAGCATATAATAATAGTAACAGATGGTGATTATTGAAAGTTCACTGTGTATGTGTGCCAGGCACTGTTACAAGTTTTTTGCATGTATCACCTCATTTAATCCCCACAGCAGCCTTATGAGAGAGATAATAATTGTCCCTATTTTATAGATGAGGAAACAAATAATGGATGTGCAGATCTCTATATTCAGGATGAAAAGTAGAAATACTTCTATTTTTGTTAACTTCTGCCTTCTAATTTTTTATTAGTTTGTTTAGATTATGACTATATTCAATAACCTTTTAAAAATATGGTTATATACATAATGGAGGCTTCCCTGGTGGTTCAGCAGTAAAGAATCTACCTGTCTGCCAATGCAGGAGCTGCACTTCAATCCCTAGGTTGGGAAAATCCCCTGGAGAAGGAAATGGCATCCCACTCCAGTATTCTTGCCTGGGAGATCCCGTGGGCCGAGGAGTATGGCAGACTACAGTCCATAGGGTCACAATGAGTTGAATCCCACTTAGCAAATAACAACAACAATCCATAGTGGAAGTCTTTTTTAGTAGGATTGGTGCTGGCCTTTAATCATGATGATATATTATGTATCACTTTCCCTACCTCCTAAGGAGTCTTCTGACCTTTAGCCTTACTTTCCCTCAGTCCTTTCTTCATGCTGCATATGATGGTGGAATTAGCTTTTGAAAATGCAAGTTAGATCACATTGTTTTCCTGCCAAGACTATGTACGGCCTTTGCCAGTGTTAATCAGACTGAAGGACCAGATTTTCATAGGATTGCAGATGCAAAAGTTTTGGTGAACCATGCAGCTATTTGGTAATAACAACTGAATCTGCAAGATGAGATACCTCCTAGTTATGACATAGAGTGGCCAACAGAAAATGGACAAATGATATAAATAGTTCTAGAAAAAGAATTGAAACTGCTGTAAAACAAAATGTTCAACTTTACTCATGATAAAGGAAATACACAGTCTAACAAGCAAATTATAAAATATCCCTGAAAGGATACATTAAAAAACCACTTGCCTTTGGCCAGGGAGACTAAGTGGTAGGAGACAGGAGTATATATTTTTTTAACCTTTTAAAATTTGTAGACAGTTACACATGGGGTCGCAAAGAGTCGGACATGACTGAGCAACTGAACTGAACTGACACAAGTATTAGAGCAATGTGGATCCCACATACTTAAAAAACGAAGAAATAAAAACTAGATTCTTCATGCTGGTTGGAAACTGCACCTGAATATGTGGAGTGTTCAGAAGTTAAAATATACTTATAGCAATTTATAAACCAGAAAATTATCATCACCATCTCTTACTTTTATGTATCACATTTCAGATTACAGAACATTTTCATGTGCTGTTTCAGTTATCTTACAGCAACCTCATCCACATTTAAAATGAGGAAGCTGAGTCTCAGGTAAATTATGATTCACCTAAGGTCACGCTGCTAGTTTTGATCAGTTCACACACTGCAGCATATTTACATAAATATCTGTCTACCCTACTAGATTCTGAGCTATTGACACAAGCAAAACTATAATCTAGGCCTTCTGTTCCCAGTTAGCTGCCATTCAATGATTATAGCTCAGAAAAGAGTCAGGGAAATTATGTCACCTCCTTTCATTGTCTTGGGAATTACATGGAAAGGGATGAGTCTAACCAAAAATAAAACAAGATTTCAGAAACCTCTTGTAAGTAGTGCCATTGTAAAAGCACACAGAGAAAAGAATGGAATTTTTTTTCTCTGTATTTTCATTTTAATTTCTATGGAAGGAGGTGGATTCCATACGCCATAGAACCTTGTTTCCACGTTGTGGAATTTGATGTTGTTACATATTCCATTTGAATTAACTTTAACATTCCACCTCTTCAGGAGCCTTTTCACAAACTTATTTTCTGCAAAATTCCAGTGATGAGTGAGATGACTCAACTGGATCGTGGCATCATATATGTACATATTTTTAAGGACTGAATTAAGAGTCAGACATTATGAAATAACTTGCCAGATAAGAATTCTTAGAAGTCATTTGAACAAACCTTAAGCTTATAGTAAGCGTCTGAGAGGCAGCAGTAACTTAAGAATGTGCTATATTACACATGTTCTAAATCCTTCAGCATGGACACTTCTTGGTTGAAGTGAAATTTAATGCTAAAAAGAGGACACATATTATTTTCCTTAACTAATGAAGAAGAAAACAGTCATTCTCCAAAGAGAGAAAGGAAGAAAAACTTATACAATCTGTATGGAATTCAGACACGTTTTTTTATTAAACAGGAGTCTGTATGAAACTCTTCAGAATTTTATAGTAAGGCTTAGATAAATATTTCATGTTACATCTGAAGATGCAATCATTTATAGTAATTTTAGCACTCTGATTTCTGTTTGTTTTCAGATTTGAAAAAGCAAACATTTTCTATGATGATTTATATCTGGGAGCTGCCAATTGAGCCCAATTTAACAAGCCTTATCTTTATAAATAAATGAAATAGGATAATAAGGAACAGCTCTACTTACTTATATTTTATGTCTCTCTCTTTAGACAGAAGCAGTGTTCGAAGATTTTTTTTCTTACTGAAATGTAAACCATGGCCTTTGTAAATGCCTTACTCTTTAACCCCCTAAATGTAAGCTGATCTTGGATACAGGCACCATCTTTCCCTGCAGCTGCCTCAGGAGACTCTCTGGAAACTCCTGCTCTTGGTTCTCCTCCAGAGCAGATGGAACCTACCCCACTCCGCGCTTGCCACTGTTCTAGAGCCTTCAGCTGACAAGTGGGGACTCTCACCAGCTCTAACCCCTAGGTTTTGGGAGTTGTTTTGCAAACTGCCCTTTGTTAGTTTGCTGGTTTGATAATTTTTCTTTTTCTTAGATAGACATTTTGACATGAGATATTCTTTGTCTAACTGTGTATTCACAGTTCATTCTATGTATGATACTTGCTTATGTTTGGCCAAACTACTGATGGAGGGGGACATACCTTGACTTTATAGTCTTTCTCAATTGAAAGATGGATTTTCTTTATCTATTGGCAAGCTATCTGCTCAGCACCTACCATGTGGTGCTCAGCACTTTGGGTACAAGAGGAATTTAAAATTCATTCATTCATCACACAGTTTTTGCACCTACTATGTGCAAACGCCCAACTTGGCCCGGAGGGTGCAGCAGGGGTCACATAACATGACCCCTGCCTTCCTGGGGCTTATGTTCTTGTGGGGAAGAGAGTCAGAAATAGAGTAAGCTGATGACCGGTTAGGAAAATTGCCATCAGGAAGGAGGTGCCATCAGGCAGGGCGGACCTGGAGGACGGGAAGGAACCAGCAGTAGTGGAAGGTTCTTGGGAGAGGGGGCTGGAGAGAGAGGCTCTATCATGGGAAAGAGCTTGATGTTATCTTCTGGGAAGCATGAGAAGGCTGTGGATTTCAGGATAGTGAGGAGGAGAGAAAAACTATAGGAAGTGGGGTTAGAGTGAGAAAAGTTTAAGTGTTAAGTCCATAGGGTTCCTAGGAACCCTAATGAGAGACTTGGGTAGCACCCTGGGCCCTCTCTCATCTTCCACACTGGGTTGAGATGTCTTTCGATGTTGCATAGGGGAATCCCACAACCCCGATCTTCTCCCACCTGCCTTGCACACAATTCCATGTCCACTTTTGTCACCTGCATTTATATATTTCCATTTATTTCTCACTTAGGTTTTATGGCAGGCACACAAAGAAACCCTCAGATGTCTCAATATGGACCTCAGCAGACAGGACCATCCATGTCGCCTCATCCTTCTCCTGGAGGCCAGATGCACCCTGGAATCAGTAGCTTTCAGCAGAGTAACTCAAGTGGGACTTACGGTCCACAGATGAGCCAGTATGGACCACAAGGTAAAGAAAAGTTTCTCCGGAATGCACTCAGTAGGTTGTAGAAATTTTACTATGCGAGTCCTTTCAAGACCTCAATGTTATAAACATCTAAGATCCCATTGTTACCTGACAGATCTGTGAGGTTAATGCAAACCACAGCCCTTCAGTTTCCCGTAGTGATGGGAAGAATAATTATAGCAACTATTCATTAAGCATTCATGCATCAGACACTCTGGTAAGTGCTCTTCATACATGTGTTATTAATAATGAAGGAGTGAACCCTTGTTTCTGTGATGTAGCTCTAAATGCTTGTTGCGAAAGTAGCACAAGCCTTGACCTCAAAAAGTTTGATTCAAAACTTAGGTTGTTCTGTTGAGTCCTGATTCTGCCCCTCCCTCTGTGTAATTACCTTTGTAACAATGTGCTCACTACTCAGAAGGATTGCATTCCATTACTTTTCCTCCTAATCTGTCCCCAGAGTGCTCTATCAGGTAAATAATAGTTCTAGTTTTCACAGTCATTGCCAGTTTTACTCTTAAAAGACAGGACAAAGCCTGAAATGGACATGTCTTTCAAAAAGGAAAATAAGGCATGAGTAGAAAAATAAGTGGAACCATGCCCAAAATGCCCCATTTACATTCTGCCTTCCTGAACATTGATGTCTGTTTTGTCTTAAACGTGCAGAATCCTTTCATCAAGGTGTTTAACCTGATACATTTTTTTTTCTAAGTCACTTCTACAATAAGGCATTTGAATTTAGCACCTTCTTTATATTTTGTTTATTTAAATTAGACATTAATGGATAACTTAGAATGAGTTAATCTGGCACAATTCCCAGAGTTTTCTCACTTCTGAAAATACCAGGAATGTTCCGAGTGAAGACAATGCCCTCTAGGAAACTAGTATAATGTTCGCCCTGCCTCCACAGCCAAACCAGATTTCCTGACCTACTAAAGCCATAATGTTTCTCCCATCCAAGTACTAGCCAGGCCCGACCCTGCTTAGCTTCTGAGATCAGACGCATTCAGGGTGGTATGGCCATAGACAAGCCTTAATACTTCTGAGAGTGTCCATCTGGAAAGCATGCTGTGCTGATGCCCTTCGAGCTTCTTCAGCCATAGAAGTACCTGCAAGGCCAAACGATTCTTTGAGGAGGCCAGATGCCTTCTCAGCTTCTTACCTGCTATTTCTCAGGAAAGCTTTCCTTACCTCACAGTTTGAAAGTTCTCTTGTTTTCTAAAGATCTCTTTCTGAAGGATTTGAAGCACCCTCAGAACTATCAGTGTAGCACCATCACCTCACCTTATGTTGCTCTGTTATTTTGTATTCCAACTATTTGCGTTGTTGGGAAACTATATTGGAACACCCAAAACAAATGTTTCCTGTGGCCCTTTCTGCCTCTGTCCATGTGCATGTAGTCAGAGTGGTATAAACGTAGGTTTGACTTGATTCCCTTTATTCCATGTCATCAGTAGATTTCTGTGTTATTAATTCCTGTAAAAGCTCTGGGAATTTAAAGTCCCAGTTGACAGCGAGGGTCTGCCTAGTTCTCCATCAGCCAAGGTGGTTGTGACATGTGGCAGTTTGTTGCTGAGCTAAGGCAGAACGTATCACTCAGCTGTGAGAACGCTGCTTGCCCTCTGCGTCACTCAATGGGTATCTTCAAAACTGGGGGGACTTTGGCTATCTGGAAAGGACGAGAACTTGAGCAAAAATTGGGAAAGCAGTTTATAAGTTGAGACATGCACAGAAAATGTGGACTTTTACTCAGAATGTAACTGGAGACAAGACCAGGCAGGGCCTTATTCTCAGAGTTAGGGGTGGCTAGGGCCTGGGACTTATTCACTGCCACTCCAAGGGTTTCATGTATGTTGTCTTGGAAACTGGCCACTCTACTCTTAAATACTCTTGCAATCTCACCTTCTGCTGCTCTCAAATAAGGGAAGGTGGGAAGGCAGTGCCTTGGACTATCTGATGAGTCTTGTGTGAATGGCTAATAAAGCACTCATACTTTAGGAGTTAGCTAATAACACAAAAGATAATTTCCATAAAATGGGTTTATCCTCTGAATAAAACCCTCAGTTTTCTGGAATCTTTGAATATTAAGATTCTTGATTTAATAGCACTGCTCCTGTGAGAGTTCTCACCCAACCTTGTATGCCTTTGGAAAATTGCTTGCTCTCTGGGGTTTACTTTTCCTATAGAAAATGAGAAAATTAGATTGTGTTACCTTGGAAGTTGCTTCTAATTCTAATGTTCTGAGTCTAAATTTTGCTTCGACTCCAACACCTTTTTACATTAATGCGGCCCCATGGATCCACTGCATAACTGTTTGGATGTATAGTCAAGAAGATTGTTGTTTTGGGTTTTTTTAAGGTGTAAATACTAAACCTAGGTTGGACAATTTAAAATAAGGCTGACAGTTTTCACACATAGCACTTTCTAACTTTATGCCCTCAGCAGTGTTCTCCTTCCATGTGGCATCTCAAGCATATTCTGTACTCCCCCTCACCCCCCAGGTTTCTTGACTGGCTCCCGATGCCGTGAACTAAAAATCCATTTTCGGGTGCTCTCAGTTCAAATCAGAATTGTTTGCTTTCCTCCTTGTATTCCCCCTGTCCTCACCAAATAAATGACAGGAAATGGCAATTATAACTTGTATTACTCAATTCAAGAAACATTCTTATCTTTCCTTTTTCTCTTGATTGATCCTTTTAAACAGAGACCCAAATGAAGTCTTTTTTTTTCTTTCTCTTGAGTAACTACTCAAATTATTAGTAGAATATTCAGCTTCCATCTTTATGTTACAGGTTTTGATGTCTGGAAAGAATCACTTGTGCAGAGATCCACAGAGTTGTTTGTCATATCTTCTCTGTTTCTAGCTAGATGGCTTTCTTCCGGGTTAATGTTTTTAAGCAATCTCAGGGGAAGATACTTTACAGTCTCTTTTTGCTAAACCTTTTTGTTGTCAGAAATAGCTTCTTCAAAATTATTGGTAACAGCAGCCAACATTTATTAAACACTACTGAGTCCTGGTCTTAATGTTTTTCATATATTAACTAATTTAATCCTCACAACATGCCATGTTATAGGTACCACTGTTACTCCACTTGAAGAAACTGAGGCATGTACCTCATTAACACCTTTGCCCAGGGTACACAGTGGTCATGCTGGGATTCAAATTGAGGTATACTTTCCCATTTTTCTTCATTAACAGGAAACCTGTAATGTCATCCCATTTTGCAAATGAGCAGGTTAAGTAATTTACCCGCAATCCCATAGCTGGTCAGTACAGAGCGAGGGTTTAAACCAAGAAAGACCAGAGGCCACTCCCAGAGTGCCTGCTGTGTCATTTCCCATGACTTAGATACACTCCTTCCTGCTGGTCCCTTCAGTGAGCCACTGGAGAGACAGAAGACAGACTGTGAGCCTTCAAGGAGCTTTGGGGAATACAGGCTTGAAATACGCCAAAAATACTAGAGATTGAGAATAAGATTCCTATTAAGAGGAACTTTTTTTAAAATGTATATTAATACTATAAAGTCTGAATTATTAAATATACAGATGGGATGAAGCTGATCTAAATGTGTAAAAATGTTTGATTACAGTGTATTTTATGAAATAGTGCTTTTCTACCTTCAAGCAAGCACATATAAAATAACTCCCCTTACAAAGTGTTTGTGAGTAGAGAGGGCCAGAGAGACTTGGCTCTAATAAATAAAAAGGAATTCTTTAATTGCTGTATTAATTATTAATAAATGAATTTGTATGTGGAAAAGGGAGCTGAAAGCCATTTCATCTTCATAGCCTTTCTATTTCCTAAGGACAGACATTGTCTTGTTCGTATGTTTTCTAGAGCAGGGTCTGTCACAGACTGTCCACAAATATTTTTTGCATGTTTGTCACTAATTGCAAAAAGTGAGGGCCAACCTTAGTTTTGCAAGGAGTTAGGAGTATTTTCTTGGGCAACTGACAGGAGCTCTGAGCCGCGATTCCCCCTAGGTGTCGCTCCCCGTGTGAGTGTCTGGGGCCCCCACGTGCAGCTGTAGACACTGCACGTGGACTCGGCCTTGGTTTTATGCCTTGATGTGTATAGTCGTCTTAGGAAGCAGGGAGCTTATAAGGAGATGAGTCTGACGAGCCTTTATTCCTAAAGTACTTGGTCAGAGGTGCTTTTCAGAAGGGTTTAGAGTGCTCCTCTCTAAAATAAATCAGATACCATCGGAACTCTTCCTTCTCCTTTATTCATTAAAAGTCAGCAATGGCAAACTTTAAATGATACCTAGATGAAATGAATGCAGCTCCAAAATAGTGAATTGCACGTTAGTAATCTTAACAAGTGTTTCAATTCAAGAGGAACAACGTATAAATGTCACCCACCAGCTACTCCAGAGAGCCTTCTAGGCCATGGTAGCCTTGCGGTCACCATGACCCACGATTTTAGTCACCACTCTTGCTCTTAAATTAGGCTGAATTCAGCCTCTCTTCTACAGAAGTGAGGTGTGTCTGCCGCGTGGATTCATTTTACCCGCCGTGAACAGTGCTGCTAATTGGAGATCTTGTTCTTTGCCTTTCCGGAGGCTGGTTTGTGTGCAGGCCACTCCTGCTTCAGTTTCATTCATTTCTCTCCTGAAACAGGTTGCAGTGTTCTTGATGTGTGTACTTCTTCCTGTTACATTAACTTGATTTTTTCGTTAAATGGACAGTGCTAGGGAAAAGTATTAATTCCATAGCCTGTAAAGCTTTGTTCAAAATTTTCTAAATCTTTATCTTGCTCATAGTAGGAAAAAACAAATTGTAGCTGATCATATTATAGCCAAAGGTGATTAATAGCATCATCTTTTGATGCTCAAATTTAGCCTTCAAGCTATAAGGTTGAAGCTTGAATTTTTCTTAGCAGACTGATAATCATCTTGACTTTGTCAATACCTAGGAATTAGGAAAGAAGTAAGGAAAATTTAAAGTACAAATCAACTTCACAGTAAGAAAGAAAAAATATACAGCAACATGAATTTTGACTA